CAAAGTATAAACTAAAGTGTACACCATAGTTTACATGTAGAAAGGGCCGTATCGATTGAACTTTGCTATTTGTACACCGATTTTTGACACGTTTTTTGACACTTACATTATTGTCAAGTGTCAATTGTATGGAAAAACTAATTGAAATTTAAACTGTCTAGCAGGGTAATGTCACGTGGCAAAGTGTAAACTTAAGTGTGAACACCATAGTGTATATGTAGAAAGGTTTTTAACGATTGAACTTTGCTATTTACCCACTAATTTTTGACACGTTGTTTGACACTTGCATTGTTGTCAATTGTCAATTGTATGGGAAAACTGTTTGACATATAAACTGACCAACGAGAAAATTTCCCGTGGTAAAGTGTAAACTACAGTGCACACTATGGTGTACATGAAGCAAGAGTCATACCGATCGAACTTCGCTATTTTGTACACTAGTTTTTGACATGTTGTTTGACACTTGTATTGTTGTCAAGTGTCAATGGATGGGAAAATTACTTGAAATTTAAACTGTCCAGCAGGGTAATGTCACGTGGCAAAGTGTAAACTTAAGTGTGTACACCATAGTGTATATGTAGAAAGGTTCTTACAGATTGAAGTTTGCTATTTGTACATTGATTTTTGACACGCTATTTGACACTTGCATTGTTGTCAAGTGTCAATTGGATGGGAAAATAGCTTGAAATATAAACTGTCCAACAAGGAAATGTCACATGGCAAAGTGTACACCATAGGTCCTTACTGATTGAACTTTGCTATTTGTACACTGGTTTTTGGCACGTTGTTTGACACTTGCATTGTTGTCAAGTGTTAATTGGATGGGAAAATTATTTGAAATTTAAACTGTCCAGCAGGGTAATGTCACGTGGCAAAGTGTAAACTTAAATGTGTACACCATAATGTACATGTAGAAAGGTTCTTATAGATTGAACTTTGCTATTTGCACACTGATTTTTGTCACGTTGTCTGACACTTGCATTGTTGTCAATCGTCAATTGGATGGGAAAGCTATTTGAAATATAAACTGTCCAACAGGGAAATGTCACGTGGGAAAGTGTAAACTAAAGTTATACCATTGTGTACATGAAGCAATGTTCATACCGATTGAACTTTGTATTTGTACACAGATTTTTGACACGTTGTGTAGAACCCCAAATAATTCTAGATACCTTAGTGGCACTAAGACATGAATATTGGATGACTAAAGTATACTTCAGATTTTTAGTCTCATTTGAGACCCATTTTTGATAAAGGAAACATTCGATTTGGAAAATAATATATAAAAGAAAGTTGTAGCTCCTTGAGTTAGCTTTCCAACGCACTTTGAATTACCTCAATCGGATATTGGGAGAAGAAGTTATGAGAGAAATACTAAAAGCTGTGTAGTGTCAACCGGACTACAACCGGTCGACCGAAACTGCCTGAAATGAAAATTCTCGTTTTTCTCTAGAATTTAAATATTTATTTTCATCAATTGTTTTCTCAAAGGGCCACCCACATTTTTGGCAATAAAAACCCCACTAAATTGAAGCATTTAACCTCAAACTTAAATGACACCCATATTTTCTCTCTTAAATGAAATTTGACCCTTCATTTGCTTTAAGTTATGGGATATTTATCTATAAATAGAGACCTCATTTCACTCATTTTTCTCACACCAAAAGCAAAAGCTTTTACATACTTAAGAAAGAGTTTCCAAGAGAGAAAAAGAGAGGGAGAAAAACTATTTTTCCTAAAAGTTTAAGAAGTGTTTTCAAGCATCAATTCTCAATGGTTTTCAAACATCCAAGGAGTGCATTTCTTTCAACGTCCAAGTTTCATCAAAGTTTTCAAAGTTTCAAAAGCATCAATCAAGGTAGGTAGAGGTGCAATGTGTTTAATCGTGTTAAATTATAAGTTTCGATTCATGTTAATGTTAGTATGTCAAATGGTACTCCGGTGCGGCATACCCCTCTATGTTGAAGAAATGTTAGTATGTCAAATGGTGCCCTCGGATACGGCATACCCCTTCATGTCAAATGGTGCCTCCGGGTACGGCATGTATGAAAAGTTATAAAGTTAATGTTTTGAAATGTATAGCTTGATCACAAATGCACCTATGACACCTATTGAGTTTTTCAACTCACGGGTTTAATCCCATCTATACAGATTGAAGGAATTCTACCTCGGGCATGGATGGAGGAAAAGATGGAGAGTGATGCAACGAGCTCATGGAAATCCGATGAATAAGTGATTTGGATTTATTTTTATGAAATGTTTTCCAATGTTATTTCTTTAAAGTTTTGAATAACGTAGAATGCGAGAACAAGTTATGTTTTCTTCAAATAAATTATATTTTGCTGTTTTCAAAAATGATTTAGTGTTTTTGTTTAAAGTACTTGAATTATTGTTATTTAAATTATTATCCGAAGATGTAAGCTTCTGCTAAAATGTATACACTTGTTACTAAAACACCGGTTAAGCTAAGTAAAGTAAGTAGCGATCCGGTCCACTAGGGGCCGGGGCGTTACAGTATGGTATCAGAGCATGGTTTAGCCGCTTCTGTAGACCAAGTATGTTTTTTTTTAAAACAAAAGGAAAATGAAAAGTTTAAGGTATTCGATGGCATCGTGCATCCATCCATTAATCTCATCCTATGGCCCAGGTATGTTCATGTTTAAAGTTAATGATTATGTTTATGTTATGATGCTTTGATATGATTTAGAGATGTGTTATTTAAAGATATGTAATAGACTTGGGCAAAAGCTAAAGGCTTAAAGGGAATTGCATGATATGCAAGTTTAAATATTTGCATGTTTTCTTTAAGCAAAGAAAAAGTATGATGTATTTGAAAATGCACCAGTTATGGCTCGTAGAACGGCTAGGGCATATAGAGAAGCATTGAACCGTAGAATTGCTATTCATTCCTATGAAAACTATGTAACTGATCCGACCCAACCGCTTAGTGAACATGTGTATGATATCTATGAGAGATGCATGACAGCAGTTAATGCTGGTATGGAGATCACGCATATTGAGGCCATAAATAACCTCATACACTCCCTCCCACCTCAATGGAGAGATATGGGAGTCACGATTAGAGATGAAATGTTAGAAGGCGACCCAAACCTATTTGAGTTTGAGAGGTACTGCCATGCCCTGATTGATTTGTGGGATGATGAAATCCATGAGGAGCCTGAGGAGGAACCTTTGGCTGAGGAAGAAGATCCCGAAGAAGAACTCAAGGATGATTTAGAGAATGATCCTGGGCCTGAGCCATAGGTTGAGATGGACATAGAGTCCAGACCTGAGGCGGAAGACTCCTCCGAAGATGAAGCTCCACCTAAGAAGATCTGTAGAACTTATAGGGATTAGATTTAAATCCTTATAATAGCTTCCCTTATGTCAAGAAATAAAATACTATCTTCTTTGCTTTAGTATTCGAAGAATGAACTAATAAGAACCATATGTTTTGCCTAAAGGAAATGGCCCTCGCAAACTAAAACTCGATAAGGGACCTCCTCCGAGTGGTTTAAGACCTAGGCAGGCAAAACCCGAACCAAGCTCAACCCCTACCACTAGCTCCTAATGTTCCAAACCATGCTTCAGTGGTCGACCGATTTCGAAGGCACAAGCCTCCTACCTTCAACGAAGCAGCTGATCCACTTGCAGTCGAGGAGTGGCTTCACAAGTTGGAGTATATATTCCTACTGATAGGGTGCATAGACACTCAAAAAGTCCAGTGTACTGAGTTCATGTTCTCCGGTGATGCAAGTCACTAGTGGGACTCAATGTCAAGGACAAGGACCCCTGAGTAACTAGTAGAATTGACTTGGGAGTAATTCAAAGGGGAAGTAATGGACAAGTACTTTCCCCAGTCCTTGAGGGATCACAAAGAAAGTGAATTCCTCCAAATCAAGCAAAAGACTATGTCCCTGACTGAGTATGAGAGGAAGTTTGATCAACTTTCAAGGTATGCTCCACATCTGGTGGATACGGAGGATAAGAAGGTACGAAGGTTTGAACAAGGGCTAAACTCGAATATAAGCATGATACTTATGTCCCATCGCTTCACCACATACCGTGAAATGATGGAAAGAGCTCATGCTATTTGGTACCAGAAAACTAGCGTCGAACAACATGGTCAACTGTTCAATCAACCGGACAATGGTAACATGGGAAAGAGGAAATGGAATGGCCAGGACAAGGGAAAAGGCAAGTGTAGAACAAGAAAGCTAATGGCGGAGCCAATGTCAGCAAAAGCATTGTGCCAGTTATTGCGCCTTGTTCTAAGTATGGAAGGACACATCATGGTGAGTGCTTACAAGGGAAAAATGTCTATTTTCGATGTGGCAAGCCAGGACATATCATTAGGGATTGTCCCACACATACCTAGAAGAAGGATGATAATAGCGACCATAACCAGAAAGGGAAAGCACGACTTTTGCATTGACTCAACAGGATGCAGAGGAAACTCTAATGTCATAGCAGGTACTCTACTGATAGCCAATACACCTACTTATGTATTGTTTGATTTAGGAGCTACACACTCCTTTGCTTCAACAACTTTTATGGCTAAATCTAGTATTACCTGTGATAAGTCGGAAGGTACATTAGAAGTTAGTATTCCTTCGGGCAACCCTTTGAATATTGATAGAATAGCCAAGTCAATAAGTATCGAAGTTGAGGGAAAACCAATGGAAGCGAACTTAAACATGATAGAAATGAAGGATTTTGATCTAATACTAGGCATGGATTGGTTAGGTTGTAATTACGCCACCATCCGATGTAAGGAAATGGAAGTATCATTTCAGAAACCAGGAGAGGAACCATTTTTGTTCCTTCGAATGAAGACGAAACCCCTTATCCAACTAGTATCGGCTTTACAAGCTGAGAAGATGTTGAGAAAAGAAACATGTCAAGGATATCTAGTAAGTATCTCAGGAGGGAAACAAGAGACGATAAGGGTTGAAGATGTACCAGTAGTACGGGAATTTGTAGATGTGTTTCCAAAAGACCTATCTAGTATTCCACCCGATCCTAATTCCCGGGGCGGCGCCAGTATCAAAGGCCCCATACTGAATGGCCCCAAAGGAACTACAAGAATTAAAGAAGCAGTTGCAAGAACTCCTAGATATGGGTTTCATACAACCAAGCGTATCTCCATGGGGTGCGCCGGTGTTGTTTGTAAAGAAGAAGCGTAACTCCTAGAAATGGTACTCCGGTACAGCATACCCCTCTATGTTGAAGAAATGTTCGTATGTCAAATGGTGCCCTCGGATACGGCATACCCCTTCATCTCAAATGGTGCCTCCGGGTACGGCATGTATGAAAAGTTATAAAGTTAATGTTTTGAAATGTATAGCTTGATCACGAATGCACCTATGATACCTATTGAGTTTTTCAACTCACGGGTTTAATCCCATCTCTACAGATTGAAGGAATTCTACCTCGGGCAAGGATGGAGGAGAAGATGGAGAGTGATGCAACGAGCCCGTGGAAATTCGGTGAATAAGTGATTTGGATTTATTTTTATGAAATGTTTTCCAATGTTATTTCGTTAAAGTTTTGAATAACGTAGAATGCCAGAACAAGTTATGTTTTCTTCAAATAAATTACATTTTGTTGTTTTAAAAAATGATTCAGTGTTTTTATTTAAAGTAGTTGAAGTATTGTTATTTAAATTATTATCCGAAGATGTAAGCTTTCGCTAAAACGTATACACTTGTTACTAAACCACCGGTTAAGCTAAGTAAAGTAAGTAGCGTTCCGGTCCACTAGGGGTCGGGGCGTTACACAATCCAAGAGGGAAATGTCCCATGGCAAAGTGTAAACTAAAGTGTACACCATAGTTTACATGTTGCAAGGTCCTTACCGATTCAACTTTACTATTTGAACACTGATTTTTGAAATGTTATTTGACACTTGCATTGTTGTCAAGTGTCGATTGGATGGGAAAACTTTTTGAAATTTAAACTGTCCAACCGGGTACTGTCTCGTTGTAAAGTGTAAACTAAAGTTTACATTGTAGTTTACATGTAGCAAGGTCCTTACCGAATGAACTCAGTTTACATGTAGCAAGTCCTTACCAATTGAACTTTGCTATTTGTCCACTAATTTTCGACACTTTGTTTGACACTTGCATTGCTGCCAAGTGTTAATTGGATGGTAAAACTGTTTAAAATTTAAACTGTCCAACAGGGTGATGTAACGTTGCAAAGTGTAAACTAAAGTGTACACCATAGTGTACATGCAACAAGTTTCATACCGATTGAACTTTGCAATTTGTACACAAAATTTTGACACGTTGTTTGAGACTTGCATTGCTGTTAAGTATCAATTTGATGGGAAAATTGTTTGAAATTTAAACTGTCCAACGGGGTAATGTCACCTGGCAAAGTGTAAACTAAAGTGTACACCATATTTTACATGTACAAAGTCCTTACCGATTGAACTTTGCTATTTGTACGCTGATTTTAGACACGTTGTTTGAAACTTGAATTGCATTCAAGTGTAAATTGGATGGGAAAATTGTTTGAAATATAAACTGTCCAGCAGGATAATGTCATATGGCAAAGTGTAAACTTAAGTGTGTACAGCATAGTATATATGTAGCAAGGTCCTCACCTATTGAACTTTGCTATTTGTACACTAATTTTCGACACGTTGTTTAACACTTGCATTGTTGTCAAGTGTCAATTGGATGGGAAAATTGTTCGAAATACAAACTGTCTAATAGGGTAATGTCATGTGGCAAAGTGTAAACTAAAGTGTACACCATAGTCTACATGTAGTAAGGTCGTTACTGATTGGACTTTGCTATTTGTACACTGATTTTTGACACGTTGCTTGACACTTGCATTGATGTCAAGTGTCAATTGGATGGGAAAGCTGTTTGAAATTTAAATTGTCCAACAGGGTAATGTCACGTTGTAAAGTGTAAACTAAAGTGTACACCATAGTGTACATGTAGCAAGGTTCTTACCGATTGAACTTTCCTTTTTGTACACTGATTTTTGACACATTTTTTGACACTTGCATTGTTGTCAAGTGTCAATTGGATGGGAAAATTTTTTGAAATTTAAACTGTCCAACAAGGTAATGTTACGTGGTAAAGTGTAAACTAAAGTGTACACCATAGTTTACGTGTAGCGAAGTCCTTACCAATTAAACTTTGTTATTTGTACACTATTTTTAGACACATTGTTTGACACTTGAATTGCTGTCAAGTGTCAACTGGATGGAAAAACTGTTTGACATATAAGCTATCTAGCAGGGTAATGACACGTGGAAAAGTGTAAACTTAATTGTGTACACCATTGTGTACATGTAGCAAGGTCCCCATCGATTGAACTTTGCTATTGGTACACTAAGTTTCGACTCGTTGTTGGACAATTGCATTGTTGTCAAGTGTCAATTGGATGGGAAAACTATTCGAAATTTAAACTGTCCAATAGGATAATGTCACGTTGCAAAGTGTAAACTAAAGTGTACACTATAGTGTACATGTAGCACGGTTCTTATCGATTGAACTTTGCTTTTTGTACGCTGATTTTTGGCACGTTGTTTGACACTTGCATTGTTGTCAAGTGTCAGTTGGATGGAAAAACTGTTTGAAATATAAACTGTCCAAGAGGGAAATGTCCCATGGCAAAGTGTAAACTAAAGTTTGCACCATAGTTTACATGTTACAAGGTCCTTACCGATTGAACTCTGCTATTTGAACACTAATTTTTGACACGTTATTTGACACTTGCATTCTTGTCAAGTGTCAATTGGATGAAAAAACTGTTTGAAATTTAAACTGTCCAACAGGGGTAATGAAGCGCCCCGAACTTAAGCTTCGAGGGCCACGTACTTTACATAATAACTTTTGCCTTTGGTACATGTAAATATTCTTAAATAGAAATATTACATGTTAAAAACTTATTTTCAACTTGGTAAAATAATTCTTATAAAATTTGATGGCCGATAAAAGTGCACATCGACAAGGAATTATGCTTCACATATACGGCCTCGGCACTGTCAAGATTAGTTGGGGCAGTAAGTTTGACAATTTTTATAAAATTCATCCCAACTCCGTTTTCTATGAAATTTGTGGCATTAGAAAGATAATTTCAAGTAGTTTTCTAGGTTAAATTATGAAAATTTTCCAAGATCATATGATATAGACGTTTTACTGAAAACAGTGAAGTATTACACAGGGAATCCAGATTGACCTTTGGACGTTAAAACCTTGATAAATCAGACCATAGATATCCAAATTGAGTGATTCCTTCGGCCATACTTAGAAAACTCAAAGGGGAAAACAGACATATTTTTATAATCTCAAATGGACGTTTATAGAGTTAGAAACATCATTTTTGAAATTGACTCCAGAAACTGCCCTGTTTCTGTCTTTTATCTTTTGTAAGGAAAATAACTTTAAAAAAACGTCTCTTATCGTAATATGGAAGATATATTCACATAATTTACTTTTAATACCATATTACATCATGTCATGTACAAATTTATACATGATACTTTAAGAGAAATAGATGGAAACATTCCTTGAACAAAATACACGAAAGAAACTTTAGATTCAAAACATCCTTAACCTTAATCCATCATCGGTTCGACCAACTGACTCTCGTCATTCCAACGATCATGGATCTGAAAAGTTTAGCATAACATACTTTGAGTATAAGGAAATACTCAGTAAGATACCATGCTTGAACATTTATCATGATAATACTACACCAAAGAAAGCAATCAAACCCATACTTCCATATTCCGACATGCCGGTGCCCTTCGGACTTGTCCTAAGGCATAAATAGATATCTAACTTTGTGGACTTGTCCACCATAATCATATTATGGTTTTTCATGCATAGCTTAAGCATAAATATTACCATGAAAATCATACCACATAAGCATAGAAGGTATCTTACCGTAAA